CAAGTGGTTCGAACGCATGCAAAAGTGTATAGATCATAAAGGAGAATATTTTGAAAAACAATAAAGTCATTTTCAATGACAAATTACTGTTTTTTTATTATTAGGCTCAAAATATAAATAGTGCCCCTCGTACATACTCATTGTAATTAAAATAGAACCTGGAAGACAGATGTCATAAATTTAAAAGCAAGCAAGCTATAGTAATTGCAGTAGTGGAAGCAGGTGTAGCTCTATCTGTTGATATAGTCACATTCATTATTGCTACTATTACAGCTATATAAATATTTAGATCTAAAAAGTGCCACTGTGACTTCTGCCAGGTTGTCAGTATCAGCCTACTATATTGGACCTTACGGAACTGTTTAACTTTTTCCTTCAGATTCTTAAATTTAATATAGTTCTAAAATCTATACCTTTTTAACTTTCTTCGATCAATCTTCTCTTATGAAATGAGATCTATGTGGTGCTGATCAAGATTGACCTGAGATCTATTTATCATGAGTCGATCATTCTCACACATATCACTATTTTTCCAGCTTTATATTTGTATAAATTTCTTACAGATATCCACAAGAAACGATGAATTTAGTTAAAGAATTATCGCAAGATGTTGCAGCTGAATATAGAGAAAAGCAAAAGAAAAAGTTACAAAGAACATTTGTGGAAGCATCAGAGGCAGCTAGTTCTAAGGTGAAAGGTATAAAGAAAAATTGTGAGTTGTGATTTAATAATTTTTTTTCTTTTTTTTCGTATTTTATTATACACAGTGTATGTCCCTGTTATTAAATGTAATAATTACAGGGATGGCAAGTAATGTGTTATTTGCCATCTCTAGATAATTATACTGACATTATGTTTGAAGGATGCGCTGTTAAAACATCCACTGTCACAGAAGAATCTATACCAAATACGCCTATACCAAACACAGCTAATCATACTGACCAATCTCGTAAAAAGCGTTCTAAAAAAAATAAAAAGCTTGATACTGAAATGAAATTGCTTTCTAATGTAAAAAAAGAATCTATATCCAGTATAATGAATTACAATTATCAGTCTTGCGAAAATCCTGATATCAAAGAAGGACCATCTAAAAAAATAAAAACAGAGGAAAATGTCTCATTTAAAGATAAAAATCATCCATATGAAGACATTGTTCTGTTGGAAAGACCAGGTACTAACGATAATGTACTAAATATATTAGAAATGTCAGCTGCAGTATCTGGTATCGCTATGAATTGGAAGTACTCTAAGACAGAAGAAGGCTGGTGAGCATATTTTTGTATTATATTTTAAAGAGTAAATTGTTTTATGTTTGTACGCACATACACACGCACGTACACACACACACACACATTTATATATATGTGTGCGTGCATGTGCATGTATGTTATATAAATTCAATATTTATAAACATAATTGTATTCGTAGATACAGCTGCAAAAATTATCATGGAATATTTCTCATTATCAACTCTTTTCAGGGAATGCTCTATTAATTTTGACTCACAGAAATTGAGTTATAGCACTGATATCAATAAGAAAGTAGCCAGACAAAAAGCAGCCACTATTGCATTAGAAAAATTACAGAAACACTGCTATACAGTTAAGGTAAAGAAAAACTAAACGTATCTTTAGTTAGAGAGATAGGGACATCTTGAAAATCCTTAGCATTAATATTTATGTTATTCTATAATGAATTATAGCAAAACATAAATGTAATGTTTTTCATCATCTTTGCATAAGAGAGAAATACAATTTTCATTTTTTTTTTAAGTATTTTTATATATACATATATTGTAAAATTCAGGTTAAAGGGGACATAGGTACAAAAGTAACTGTAACGACAGAAGAACTAAAGTCTCAGGAATCTCAATCTGACGACGATTGGAAAGTATCTAATTGCATTGGGAAAAATATGATGAAAATGATGGGTTGGACCGGCGGTGGTCTTGGAAAATCCGAACAGGGTATTGTGGAACCCATGTCTGCCTTGTTAGTAAGAAACGACATTGTTCCTTTATTTCTAAAAAAAAATTTTATTCTCTTATCTCTTTTGCTTATAAATTTTCATTTTTTTATTTTTAGGGTTAAGACGCAAATAAATCGAGAAGGTCTTGGCCTAAAAAAAAATTCTTATACGGAGCAGGAAATAAAAACCAAATGTCGAAAATTGTTTAAAGATCTCTTACAAATGGATACTTACTCGCGAAAAGACATTGTGTTTCTGGATTTTCCTAAAGAAGACAGAATTGTGATTCATCAGTATGTCACTTAAAAGTTACATAACATTTGTAAGAAATGCCACTGAAGGTAACAATGCTTCAATCTTTCAGAATTGCGCGAACAATGGGTCTTAAATCACGTAGCCATGGCAAGGATCAACGAAAACTGACAGTCTCAAGTAAAGTCAATATATGGAGTTTGGTCAAAGAATTGAACAATCTTGGTGGAGTTACCGAAAAATACGAACTGGTGAAACCGACTGATAAAAAATTCATTTCATTATCAACTTCTACTTGTACATAAAAAAAGAGATATATTTAAACGATACCTTCTGTGACATTGATGTAGTAGCATAAATATGGATTATATGAAAATAAATAGATAACTTTTTTCAGAAGTCTTTCCGTAATATTTTATTGTTTAAACGATCCAAAAAACAAGATGTTTGAAGTAATATCACGACGTTCAATATTTTTTTAGCACGCAATCCGAAGTAGCGAAATTCGTTTAATTCTTGTTCCTAGCGGACATAGTATTTCTGTCAAATAAAAAGCCGTACGTTGTAGATCAGAATATCGCATCACGTCGCCAATAAAATAGTGTAAACAAATGCAAAGGGTGAGACACAGTAAAAAGCAATCTTCTGAAATTATGATTATGCAGGCAGGGCCTACAGATTCGTAACTAATCGTGTTCATCGAGCAATTGCAATGTACGCTCACGCTCGCGTGCACGATTAACGGGTGAAATTGTTTCGCATGATGTATAATTGTAGGCATTAGCAATTAAAAGTAAAAAGAAGCGTTCTCATTTTATTTAACAATTATAATTGTTGCGATAAAATCATTCCCAAGAGCGCCTGGCATTCAATCGAATAGAGAAGTACAAAATCTTAAGAAGCAGATGATTACTTTACAGTAGAATGTCGCAAGTTGCCGTGTAACTTGACGTATAATAAGAGACTTTGGCAGTAGAACAATCAGAAATCGAAAGGTAACATATACAGATAATACGACAGTGCGTGATATTTTAATACATTATCACATCGTTGAAATCTCTGATAATTAAAATGGTCAATATCTTCTTTTTTTTTCTTTTTCTACATATAGATCGTGTATATGCATACATATGCGTGCGTACCATCAATTTGAAATGACAAGGTTGAAGATTACATGCGTCTCTCCTATATAATCACTTCGATTTATTGATTAACTTAACGTTTACTTAGCGATGTATACATACGCATATTACAACACAATATAACGCAACAATGTAAATGGGCAACGAGAGCAACGAAACAACGCGTACACGTAAACGTATTCAGAAAAAAAACAAAAAGCACCGCGTATCTTCGTTAATCAATTAATTGACCATGCTATCGCGCGCATAATAACCAGGTGAAATATTTTCATAAGAGCTGTCAGATTCACTTGCGTTCACTTGCGTAGATTTAAATTTACGCAAAAAAAGCGTCCCTATACATGCGTAAAACGATGCTGTTAATTCGATTATTGCATATTTTTCCTCTTTCGATAAATTTCGCGGGGTACAAAGGAGGATTTGTTGAACTGGAAATTGAACTTAAATATAACGCGAAATAGATTGCTATTGAATTTGGTGCAGTTAAAAGACGCGTGCGAAAACATTACCATTTCATTATTTAATTAAGCTATTGTTTAATATTAAATTTAATATTAAATTGTTATTATAATTCTGTTTTGCCACGTTACGCAATTTTAAAACCGATTAATTTCCATCATATATAAAAATTACAACGTGATGTAATCTTCCTTTTGCGATACGTCGCTTTCAGCCCGACCATTTACATTCAGCGTCAAGTCCCTCTGTTACCCTTTGTCATAATAATAGGCCTGTTCTTTTTACCTGAACCTTTTTAGCTGAACTTTTGCACCAGTTCATATTTTTTCCTCTTCTTTCCTCTTGGAGAGAAAAGGAAAAAAGATGAACTAGTGCAAAAGTTTAGTTAAAAAGACCAGGCCTCATGTCAAAGGGTACTGATAGGACACTGAGCTACCGTTCGTTACCGAAACTGTGGACGGATCGACAATTTTCTCGAAACCAGTTGCGTCGCTGTCTACATTTTAAATCAGGATTAATCAAGATCGCAGATTTATAAAAGTCTAGTATAGAAATAAGAGTAAATGCATTTTTTAAAATAGTTATGAAATTTAATGTGTCATTTAATAAATGTATAATAAGTTATGAAATATAATTTAATGTATTTTTAATAAAAAAATATCGCTAATTTAATTCAATCAAAAAGAATATCGATATTATTTGTTTGAACATCGATCAAATACAATAAAATAGTGAGAGAAAATAAAATTGATACACAAACCAGCTTCGTCCATACTTCGTGGCTAAGTATCTGTAACATGTATAAATTATATTAACAAAACATACAAACGAGGAAGAAGAAAGGGAGAGAGAGATGGAAAGAGAGAGGGGGGGAAGAAAATTTAATCTCTTATCACATTCCAAGATAATGAATAACGCGCCTTCGATACGTGGCATACATATGTATATAAGTATATCAGATATCGGTGGAACTCCGGTCTGCCGCTTTCAGGGGAAATAGATTTGACCTTATGACTTACGACTCGAAATTGGGGCCAAAGAGTCAAGGCACGAGGCGGCGGAGAGGCGAGATAGATAGAAAGAGAAAAAGAAAGAGTGAGAGAGAGAAAGGGATGTCGCGGCGTGCCATGACCCCCTAGTCTGATACCCCGTTGTTCACTAAAACACACAAGTTCCCTCGGATTTTGCCCTCGGTCCAGGCCCTACTTTGGACCGTAATTGACATCTGGAGGGAATATTAAACATTTTTTTCTTCTTTATATACCAAAATATTATCTACCATCTGATAAAAGAGTGATTTCTCTGTTGATATGTATTTGCTATGTATATATGTATAATATTTATATACCTCTAGACTCGCTTACGTTAAATTAAATTAATTAGAAGATATGTCTCAATGTATCGTTTTCGATTAAAAGATACGCTTAGTAAATAGATACGTCGTTATTTATCCCAGAAAGGATGCATTATTAATTCTCTCGAGGTAAAAAAAGAATCAGACTCGCGCCCGTCCGCGATTTCTCGATTGTCGCGAATAGCACAATTTATATACATACATATATTATGTGCATATGTGTATATAAGAATGTGTATATATAGAAATTTTTAATGCATTAATTCTCTCTCTTCAAAGTAAAAGGAAAGCGCGACGGGAAACGCTATATACCTCGAAAGAATCCGGTACCGTTATTTTATATATATATATCTATAATATAATTTTTTTAAATATATAATTTACTGATATGTATGTGTACTGATATGTATCGTGTTGCCGTAATGAAAATATCATACGCTAGCATTATATATATATATATCTTATATCTTGCTTTCTTTTTCTAATAAGTAAAACGCGCGTCATACCCTGAAAAAACGCGACGCGATGCTCCGTTTTCTCATCTTTTTCTTTTTATTATTCTTTTGTACCCTTTCTTTTAAAACTGCGTGCAACATCATCGCATTGTATATATTACGATTGCACGACGTTCACGAGCGCACCGAGAGAAATCACCTGTTCTTTTTAACATGAAAGGCGGTATTTCCATCACATATTTTTGTAACGTTAAACAAGGCTGCTTCATCTTACATCCGCATCCATCAGTGCCATCTTAATCGAAACAAGAATTACAATTTGGTGCATGTATGCGATGGAAATACCCGATACTTAAATACCGAAGACTTTCTCGGCAAGGAATTTACCTTTCATTCTTCTTTTTCCTTTTTGTTTTTTGTTCGTCACGGTGTCACGTCGCGAAACATTTACACAAAAAGAAGTGATCATGCGGTGACAAAGCTAAAAAACAAAACATACGTAAAAGAACGATTTAAAATATTTAAATCAATATACTGTTCCAGCAGTAAAATCCGAATAAAAGTTCTCGTCTCTCCCTATACAGGGTGGACCAAAAGTCTGGATACACCCAAATATCTCATAAACGATACATTTTAGAAAAAAATGTTTCAAACAAAAGTTGTAAAGCTTAAAACGACGCATTTAATGATAATAGTTATTTGACCTAGAATGGCGTTATCAAGGTCACGTCAAGGTCAACTTAATTTTTTCAAATGGAACCCCCTACTTTTTATTTCAGATTCTTGTAGGTTATGTTGAGACGTTTTCAAAACACAATATATAATATCATAAATTCTTTTCCGATAAGAACTTCCTGAGTTATGAGTCTTTAAAATTTAAATATCGCCGGCATTAGAATTATCCAAGATGTACCGCGTAGAGGTTGCTCGGTCGGATTTACATCTCTTGTGTGCGTGTGTGTGCGTGTGTGTGTGTGTGTGCGCGTGCGTGCGTGTGTATGTGTACGTGTGTGTGTATGACGCAGATCAGGACCCTAGACTTCGTCTCTAGTATTTTTTTACTCCAACCCTCTCCGTTACACGTGTGTGTGTGTGTGTGTGTGTGTGCGCGTGCGTGCGTGCGCGCGCGTGTAAATGATTGAGCAAGCGAGCAAACGAGTGGGTGAGTAAATGGTCGAGTGAGTGAGTGAGGGAATGAGTGAGTGATCGAGTAATTGAGAAAGTGATCGAACGATTGAGCGAGTGAATGAACGAGCAGGTGTGTGAGTGAATTAGCAAGTAGATAAACAAATGAACATGAGTTTGTGTTATAATAAATGTTCGAACTGTTGACCTTGTACAGCTTGATAATGAGCTAATCGGTAATAAAATACTAAAGGAGTGACGAATTCTAGGGTCCTGATCTGCGTCACACGCACACGCACACACACGCGCGCGCGCACACGCACGCACGCACGCACGCATGCACGCATGCATATACACGTGCACTCACGCACACAAGAGATGTAAATCCGACCGAGCAACCTCCACGCGGTAGATCTTGGATAATTCTAATGCCGGCGGTATTTAAACTTTAAAGACTCATAACTCAGAAAGTTCTCATCGGAAAAGAGTTTATGATATGTGTTTTGAAATCGTCTCAACATAACCTACAAGAATCTGAAATAAAAAGTAGGGGGTTCCATTTAAAAAAATTAAGTTGACCTTGACGTGACCTTGACAACGCCATTTTAAGTCAAATAAATACTATCATTAAATGCGTCTTTTTAAGATTTACAATTTTTGTTTGAAACATTTTTTTCTAAAATGTATCGTTTATAAGATATTTGGGTGTATCCAGACTTTTGATCCACCCTGTATAGCGTCACCAATATACATGTATAAGATTACTCCGCAATTGCAACAGAAATTACGTAGCATCGTCGGACATTACGCTTAAAAGGATATCTTGGGGAAATAATTGAGAATAATCGTTACATGTGTGTGTGCGTAGTTCTTTTACGCAGAAATAATTAAGAGTAATGTAGATCGCCACCTCCGACTCTAACTACCGAAGCACGAGGTCCAATAGTTGTGCATCCGCGAGAGATAAGTTGCTTCTTGGAGAGCCAATTTTACGGCATTGCGTTTAATAAGAATTACATTATCGGCTTCTTCCGCTCGACCTTTCCATGTGAACTAACGTGATTTTGATTAAAAACCATCCCTTGCCACGTGCTTGAGCGTAATTACTTTCTGAGAGTTTCCTCCCGCGAAGTTTCAAGTTTGAACTCTCTGAGGTCTTAGCAATTTCATTGAGATTCTTTCAGAAGAGATCTTACTTAAGTTTAAGAATTTTAATTTGTTAAGTAGATATTTTATCTCAATTACAATCTCATAACACTTCAATCACAATCTCAAACATTTCAATTCTTCGAGTAGATATAATCATAATAAATTTCCCACGAAAATAATTCGCGTTTAAGTTTTGAATGCACAACAGTCGGACTGTTATATCACTGCCGACTCCGCGAACGATTGTCATTAATGTTTCATCATTTATGCAAGACAGTACCGTGTACGTGCTCGCATATTTAAAGATACAGTACATCGAAGAAAGCCAAGACACGCACAACAGTGTACACGTGCATAGAGTGAAAGAACCCTAACAAAAAGTTCAGCAAAGTAGCTACAAGATACATGAGGAAGCTCAACATTTTAGAAATAGATCGGACAAAAGCTCATTACTTGTTCACACGAGGAGAGGATGCGCCTCGACGCGTAGTTAGGAGAAGCGAGAGAAAACGCAAGAGATCCGATTAAATCGTAGTCTGGTGAGAAGTGATTTTTATGTGATTTTTCAAAATTTTTATATAAATTTCAGAATTTTTCAGAATTTCATATGCATTTTTATAATTTTTTAGAAAATTTATCAGATTTGTTATACGAATTGAAACACTTTTCAGAAGTACTGAGAAAGTTTACATTTTTTCAAGAATTCTTCATGTATATGAAGCTTCTTAAATATTCTAAAAGTCTTTATTTTATAATTTCTTAAGAAAACTTATAAAATATGAAAAAGTTTAAAGTATCTTCATAAACTTAAAATATGACAAATTTTTAAAAATATTATGACAAATTCCTTCATCATATTCATAAAAATCCGATTGCGTTATTTAGGATCAATAATCGCAAAACTTAGAGGAAGTAGTAACATATTATAAAATGTTTTAGTCTGAAAAGTTAAAAGATAATATTGGATCGTAGATCGTTCAGAGAACTTAATACGCTTTTCAGTTATTTGATTATTATGTTTTTCCTAACGACGGTTCAAATCCAAATCAAAGCATAATTAAATTTTCCGAGTACATTAATTATATCAGTCACGTTCTGATTGTACTGCACTTTCTCCAAGCGGATCAACGGTCCGTTTGACGCGCGAAATGATAATGTCTAAACGTGATAGAGTTACGAGATACACGAAATGGAGACCCATCTGATTGTTCGTCATGCAGAAGATTCGAAATTCGCTTCCTACACAGATCTCAATGATCATCTCGGTGCTCGTGATCGCGCTCGGCACGTTGAAGCGAGAGCAAAAGATTCGAAAAGGATAAGAAAGGAAAGAAAAACGACAGGCTATATCCTGCGCATAAGAACTCGCGACGAAGGAAAGATACCAAGTGTCCGCAGAAAGGATGATTTAGGCTTTATCAAACGAAAGGTCTTCGGTTCGGTGGCGAGTACGATCGTTCAATCGAGGAAGCCCGTCTTAACGAGTTTCTCGAGGAAGAACTTGACGTCGCCCAGCTCAGAGTCCTTGATACCGATAGATTTCAGCATGCCCAGGTCGCCGTTTTCCACCGCCATGAAAACTGAACGTAGATGCTCGAGATCCGAGCGCATCAGATGCAGCGCTGCGCCAAAGTCTTCGATCGTCTGCGATTCTGACGGCCGAAACAGATAGTCAGGGGCCAAGTCACGGGATCAGATCTTTCGACGATAGAGTAGCAACGACGCAAGAAAGTCTTTTTCTAAATTCCAAGTCTTTGTACACCACCGCGTCAATTAAACAAGATAAATATTTGTTCGACCGATATTTTTTATATGAAGTTGGATTAAAATACTTGCGATTTCGTTCTGTATAACGCGGCAATATTGCTGCTTTTAATAGATTTCCGATATACGTGGAAAAGATTTCACAGTGAGCTATCGGAGAAGTCGAACAGTCCAATCATGTTCTATTTGGTGTCGCGTTCAGTAGCGCCAAGTATATAATTCCAAGGAACTTACCGGACAGCGCGATGGCCACTTTTTCCACACCACCGAGAGGTTTCAGCGTATCGCGTGCTTTGGTTCCGAACAACTTCTCTAGATAATTGGGACCGTGGCTGGCTAGCAGAGACTGTAGAAAACTCGCAGTTTCCTCTACGGGCGGTCGTTTGGCTGTAATGGCAAAAAAGCAAAATTCCATAAAAATTACTACATCGCTATAATAAAATGAAACAAAATAAATGCAAAATGCATAATGACTCACTACGCCGGGGATCAATAGCACCGTGCTCATAAACATCTTTAAATAAATTGGAATTTCCTCTAAATATCCAAAAAAATAAACATACAAAATGTTGGTTAATCAATACTTATGAATATAGTAGAAAGTGAAATAAAAGATCACATTTTACGTCAAACGAATGCAACAGCAATCCCTCCCTTATTACAGCTGTCTGGTACAACATACAGTGCACGGAACATCATCGAGTGTATCCATACTCTGCGATATCCTCTCTCTCATACAGTGTATGTACATGCATAATATAAAATTCACATCGGTATTTATAAAATAAAATCTACGCCAAATACGAGATAATCCTACGAGAGAAACTAAAGAGAAAAACATATAAATAAAATAATATTAAAAGTATAAAATATGAGATCATACGTTTTACTGCGAATCTGTTTACCATAGTTAGAACGAGACACGTAATTAATAATGCTAAGTGAGTCGCACTGTCGATTAGATCTAATTAATTAATGAATTCAAAATTAAGTTCACCTGCGGTACACAATCTTGAGTCTTCGTCGTATCCGTCCTGACAGTCGGGTGCTCCGTCGCAGAGATACTGTATCGAGATGCAAATACCATCACCCGGACACTTAAACGGTTCGTACGGATGGCAAGCCTCTGAAACGCACATAATAAATTTTGAATGAGCGAGAAAAATAATTTGAGAAAAGTAAGAAATTAGGAAATTGTAAAATTCACACAAAAATATTATTAAGTACCGAGATCGATCCGAATATATATAGTCTTCTTCTCTTATTTGAACTTTTCTCGATTTTTATTTAATATTGAGAAAAATAATCAGACGAAAGTAATCTGAGAAAAGTAAATTGAGGAAAGTAAGCTCGAAACGTATGCCGTTTTCAAATAATAATCAGAAACGTGTGTGTATACATACAATACGTGCACTCAATCTTATTCTGCGAAAATGGAAGTTCGAGAAAGTCAATTACGTTCGTCGGTGGGACGGTCACGAGTCACCGGATGATTAAATTACAACGATAACGTATTAAAGTGAGGGATCCGAAACGGAAATTATAAACATGCGGGTAATGCGACAGCATGCTTCGTGCGAGAGGCTTTCGGAATAATTAAACAAACACACGCGATCGTATAGTTCACGTTGCAACAGCAGGCGCGCGTAGTTAACGATCCTGAAAAATCAATTAATCAAAACACTTAATCTGATAGAACTGCAAGAACAATCGTAAACGCGTATTGATTGTTTGCTCCTTAAAGCTCGTAAAATCCTTCTCCCTTCGTCAAAGTTTTTCTCGCAATTAAGTCTCCCTATATAAGTCTTTGTACACACAAATACACACACAAAACAGTAAATATTGTCAGATTTCATAAAAGTCGTTCGAAACTCAAAATTTTTATATACTGATTCTATTAAAAGAAAGAACAAAATTTTTATATATTAATTGAGCCTCTTAAAAGAGAAGAAATTTTCTTAGATCCTTTAGAACATCTGTTTGAGAAGTTCCGATTCCCAGGAGATAAGACATCGATGTCCTGCTTGTTATATAGAAAAGTTCCACGCGAAAAGCTGTATTTCTGTATCTTTAACGGTCTCTTAGAGGAAATGTTTTGTAATACTTTATACACTAGATCTTTTATTAGTATGTCCTGCTAAAACGAGAAAAACATTAGTAATTTAATGCCCATGCTTGTATTTGACGACGTATGTTTAAATCGAATGAAAATTTTTTATCCGGTGAAAAACAATCTTCGTGACACTCGCGAAACAGAAAATATATTGTGCAGCGGTTGTGCTCTGCGATCGATTGTGTAATATTGTGCCACGTTCGTTATACGATCGCCCACGTTCATTTCGCACGTAAACGTAATTTGCACCGCAAATAGAGAGCACCGTGTCCACAAAGCATTCTGTGACAGTCAATTTTGACCGCGTTAAGAATTCAATATCTGTAACGTATCGAACCACCGCGCACCGGTGCGGTGCGAGGCGCGGCGCGGGGTGTCCCCAGCCATCAACGTTATTAAATTATCACGCACATACGTCACAGTTCTCTTTTTCATCCACACGTTTAGACAGGGCGTTTACGTGGGTTTCAGGCAAATATTTCACCAACGAGAAACTTACCGGAGTCGTATCCGGATCGCGTCATCCGTCTCATATCAAGGATTGCATTAAGCTTAAACCGGCCGCGGGACATTATTAAATTGCTGCACGAGCGTGAACGTCGCAATTTTTCCTACATGTTTAGATAAGACTCCCACGCATTAGTGGGCGTTTCTCGTCAGAGACATTACAAATATTTTACCGATCGACGTCGAGCGATGATTCCCCGGAGAGTAGCCGCTATCCCCGCGGGACCGCGACCTCAATGCATTCCAAATGAAATACGATCGTGGAGGGAATATTAAAGAATAGGATTACGCCTCTTTGCAGATGGGAGATACCTAGACAGGTTTAATGAATGTTAAATACAAGCATTTCGACCGGTAACTACTACTTTGAACTTCTATTCCCTATATGCACGCTACGGAGAGTTTTCATAATATATAAACTTTTTGAAACTTCATTCGCGCATAGTTCTCTCTATATAGAATACGAGTTACATAGAAAACAATTTAAAAGTGAGCTTAAATCCACTCGAAGAGAAAGTTTTTACAAACCTCATCATCTCGCTGACGACCGAAAGATGAAAAATAAATAGAAACTTATCAACTAACGTCTTATTTCTAAAAGCAACTTCTGCTTCATTAAATTTTTGAGAACATGTTTTATCGACTGTATCTCTCATTTGACTTCTTACTCATTTCTCTTACTCATTTCTCTTACTCATTTTGATTGGAATTCGTAGAAAAAGAAATGACTTATTATTTCTCGACGTTACTCTGAAAATGCATATTAAGATGACATAAAATGGCAAAAATTCTGCATAAGGGATAATTAAATTAATAAAAAGGATTAACAGAAGAAAAATAATTAAATAAAAAAATTAAGAGTCAGATAAGACAGGGGCTACTGGATATAATATTTTTTATATCAAACCATCGTGAGAGAGACAGAAGTTATACTGCAGTGGGAGGGGGTCTAAATTTTATTCTAGTGCAACTTTGCGGTATCATTATTTAAAAAAAAATAGATTTATGCAATAGATAATTATGAGAAACAGGGAGCTTGGTTGAGACAAGGGATATTGGATATAATATTTTTAGTATCAAAGCACGGTACAAGAGATAGAAGAATTATAAAGTGGGTCTAAATTTTTTTAGTTGATGCAACTTTGCAGTCTCATTATTCTTTTTAGAAAGAATAGATTTATGCAATAGGTAATTGTGAGAAATAAGGGAATTCGAGTGAGAAAGGGGATATTGGATATAATATTTTTAGTATCGAAGCACGATGAAAGATGGAATTATAAAATGGGTCTAATTTTTTTTAGTTGGCGCAACTTTGCAATATCATTACTTTTTATTAGGAAAAATAAATTTATGCAATAGACAATTATGAGAAACGGGGACTTGGGTGAGACAACGAATATTAAGTTTTAGTATCAAAATGTATTAGGTGAGAAATAGAAAATAAAATGAATTTAAAGTGTTTTAGTTGCGGCGTAACTTTGCAATATCATTACTTTTGTTTAGAAAAATCAGATTTACGCAATAAATAATTACAAGAAAACGGGAGCGCAGGTAAGATAGGGGATGCAACGACCGCATGAAACCAGCTTCGCGGTATCCCGGCCCTGAATAGCCGCGAACTGAGTAAAAACGCGTGTTTCTAAATGTCATCGGCTATATGCGACTCGGTACGCGTTAAGTATGCGCGTTATTGACCGAGCAAATGTACACGTACGTTACTAACCAGAGTACACGCTCCCATATGGCCGAGTTTCAACGAAACATCTCCGTCGTAATTCTCTGGACCCGTTAATTTTAATGAATGTTTATCAGGAGGAACACGATGCAAACGGCGACAGTGTCTCTTGAAAGCTTCCTCTCCATTCCGTACCCTCTTATAATTGTCCCGCGTGAGCTCATATAAACGTTTACTTTAGCTCACTTCCTATAAGCTAAAGTTTACACGTGTACCTACGTATATCTCATATGTTACATGTGAAGAAAAAGTTTTTAATTATTTCATTTTTAATTTTTATCTCTCGAACTGACGATCATATTCTTCGGTTAATTTCAAGCGGATTTTGCTTGCAAATTCGTCACTTATGGTTTGGTTACATAATAATTTGAATAAATAAATATGTATATGATGCTGTAAGAAATGATGTAAGAAGTTGGATGCAATGAATAATTTCTCTAAACATTCTCGTAAAGTCAACACCAAAGTAGTCGAGGAATTAATTAGATGACGGTGGAAGTGGAACAACTTATATGTATTTAGACATATGCGAGATAAGGATTATATATGCAAATTCATTCGTAAGTTTCATGTAAAGCTAATTTGTTTAATTAATATATGTCTGCAGTAAGCTTCTCCAGTTCAAATTTCGTAATCACGTGAGCTATAAATTAGTTTCTCGAACTGTTATAGTTTCAATGGTTGCAGTAGTTAAAATTAAGTTTGGGCAGACAGTATAATGCACGAGTTACCCTTCAAACACACACACGTCTACATGTATTATTTAATATATTCTCTAGAAACATCTGACGTTAATATTGCGTAAAATATATAAATACATGTTTAAATTTATCATAAACAATTAAAGCTGTCATCAAACAGCTACAACTTTATATAAAAATTTAGGTTATTAGTATTCGTTAAAAAAAATATGAAAGCACATGAAATGTAGTAAATTGTGAAAATGTATTGTAATAAAATATTTCGATATAATTTTTATTTTAAATTGCAAGATGTTAAAGCTACAAGAAAACAACTGATAAGAATAAAACTACGAACGACTACAAATATTTGATAAATGTTAGTAATATTTGATTACCGTTTTTAAATAACTTTATACATAAATATACTGTAATAAAAACAATGAAGAAATTCCATAAAGCGAATAAATCGATTAAATAAATGTTATACAAAAATTTATGCTGAGAGCAAGATGCACAAAAAAACTATGTATGTTTAATGTGATAAAAATTTTTTTTATGTAATAAAAACAAACACAGAAAAAATAACATTTTTTTAATATACAAAAAGTACACATATTTCTTCTTCACTTGAATATTCTACAATTTATAAAGTCACTCGAGATAAAAGTTTCATTAAAATTGTAATATTCTTATAATACACGTTCACATATGTGCAACTCCTTAGATTTTCTCGAAAAGAACTTAAAAATAATATTTTTTTATAAAACTTTCTGCGTGATTTTATTTTTACGCGATTCCTTCCTTTTTGCGATCGTCTTACGATTGCGCGCCTAAGACTCGTGGTCTTTGTGGCAGTTTAGAATTATCCTTTTTCGAAGGTACGTCAGCTAATTTTCGCCGTTTCCCAATTCCATCGTGTCGAGATCGTTGTCGACTTACCCGAACGTTTCGTGTTGAAATGACCATAGAAGCGGCTGAGGTCGATCGCCATGACGGCGCGCGGAAAGGCGGCGCAGGCCGTCAGGGCGATGCCAAGTGCAACCGCACCGTTGCAGAATCTCCGTACCATTCTTGCTTCGCGAATGCGTTTACAAATTACAGAACAGGCGTTCTTTTATCTTCTTCTTTGCTGTGTTGCTGTGACGACAAGTCGAATTCGGGTTCCCTCTTCCCCCCTCTCTCTCTCTCTCTCTCTCTCTCTCTCTCTCTCTCCCTCTCTCTCTCTCTCTCACTTTTTACTGAAACTTCTCTTCTCCCTGAAGAATTCTTGATTCTTCCTCGCGAACGCGATAATGTACAGTCCACCTTCGCGAGAATCACCTACTCGCTCGGTCGTTCGCTCGCTCGCTGGTATCTGGTGCGCCACCAAGGTGTTCGAGTAACTCCTCGGGGTGGCTCGCGCAAGGTCCCTCGCCCCGAGAGCACTCCGCTTCGGCTGCGCTGCGTCTGTATGCGTGGGTGCAAATGTTAACGGCGCGGCGACTCGGCGAGGTCGCTCTCACCACCCACTTGGTTCGCCCTTTCTCGGAATCTTTCTGGTCTCTCGCTTCCTCGACCGCTCCGCTCTCTTACCACCTCCTTCTCCCACTTATGCCCATAAGAAAAGGATCCCTGCTGGACGAGTGACGGTGACGGTGCACAGCCACCCTGCGAACACACCTGCGCCACGCGATCTCACCATTCTCACCTGCGGCCGGCTCGTGTTGGTACTTGGGGAAGGGGAGGGGGAGGGGAAGAATGAGGAGGACGCGTGGGGGACCGGTCGACCAATCGGCTGTTGGGTTACGCTGGATACGGCCAATCGAAAAGCGCGAGATCGCAGGTCTACCCTGGAACACCCACGCTTGCCGTTGCGCTCGCATCGATTTCAACCCCTCGTCGTCCAGTGGCGTAAACGAGGGCTTGATAACGCAATGGATTCATTCAACTACAAATTATGATGCGTCGGAATCATACTTTTATTTTTTTCACCGTAAATACCTTTTGTCTTATTGCATTAAATTTTCACGTAATCGACATACTGATATTTCCTCCTTTCTTTATCTTCCTCTTCGCAACAAGTATGTTCCCTCTTATCACGTCCCGTTACCATTTCCCAACTCGCTGTTACGCTCCTGTCTTTCTCAATAGGTAACTTTCGCTTCTCGTTACAAGGTACTTTTAAGCGCCCGTGATATAATAAGTCGACATTTAGTAATTTTATAACGAATCCGCTGTTATCTAGTTGAGAATCACTGTAATTATTCAACGCTCTCGTCGAGTCGTGCATAACAGTAATTCTCAAATGACGCGCGATACTTTGACTACATCTTCAAACAAGACTGATAAATAATCGTCACGTAATGTTGAGTAATATTGTTTACCGCAAAAGAACATCGCAATATCGATTACTTTCAATCGCAAAGAATGAACGCCCGGAATTTGCATAGATTATTCGGCGTGATGTTCTAAACGATGATATACGTACATTATACACGAGAATATATTATATATTCAATATTGTATACTGTTATGGAACTGTTGATAATAACTTCGCAATAGATCCAGTGATATATTTCTACAGTCGAAAAAGTTTATTGAAAATTGAAAAAAAAATTCTGTCGTTTTATTCTTATAATTTCGATGAATTTAACCGTATACTCATTTGTCGTTTTGATCAAAATAATTTCCTAATTTCTTCTCATTTTATCTTTTCTCAACTTTATACATATAAGAATAGCACGTGATAAAATGAGCCAGTATATTTTGGCATCAATGTCGATAAGAAATTTCGATAAAAAAAAGAATAAGCTATATTGTATTCTACTGACGAAAATATAAACAAATGATACAATGTCTGTTATTATATTTGTTATTAGAAAATTTTCTTTTCCATGTACAGCTATAAAATTGAAATAACCATACACAAAAGGAAAAAAAATTTATTCTTTTTAATTTATAGTTTTCAATTTAACTCAACGCCAATTTTATAGAACTTGAAGAAGCCTCTATTTATAAGATCCTTTCCCAGGAAGATTAAATGCGGTTATTCGATGGTTATCCAAGTTATTACGTGGGTTAGCATATCCTACGCGTACTTTAATTTTATTTCTTTTCGCACTATTCCTCTCTTTACGACTCTTCTTTTACAGTACAGATACGCGGAATTCATTATTGATATTTTTTAAGATATAACTTTTCTCGATATATTATCATAGTGATTCGTAACAGTATCAGTATTATTCTAGTGATATATTTCTACGGTTGAAAAGATTAAAATTTATTGATATAAAATTTTTTTTATATGTAAAATTATTTTATATTAAATTAAACAGAAAAAATCTGTTATTTTATTTCGTCAATTCTATGAATTTTTTAACGTACACATTTATCGTTTTGGCAAAAACGTCCTAATCTCTTTTTTTTAAATCATTTTCTGTTTCTCTCTCTGTTTCTCTCACACACACTTTCATTATTCAAATGTTGATTTCTTAACATATGATAGGTCTTATTGCGTTAATAGAAAGCAATACAAAGAAGTTTTAGCATTTTTGAGATAATGAAACAAAATCAAAACACTGAAGACTAACATATTTTTGCAAAAAAAAACAACATATTTTATATAAAAAAGTATCGTAATTCTGGAGTAAATATTGATAATAACGAACCCAGCTCCGATAACCTTGACCTTGACATATATTGTCTAGGTCATATGAGCCTGAGTAACTTTCAGAAGGTTTCAACCCGCGCTCATTATTTGTTCAAAAGTTATTAACAAAAAAAAGATTTAAGAAAAGAGTTCTATTTTCTGGTCTACAATATTAATACATTAAGAATAATACATTAAGATACAATATTAAAAACTATCTTCGGAACTTGTTTCGAAACTTTACACATACCTGAATGTAACAGTACTCGGATCCACTATTGGAAACCATGATGAAAACTTGAAGTTTTCACTGCTTGTTAATAGCGCGAGGCAGCCGAGGTAATCGAGCCAACTTCAAAAGGAATCATTGGCAAATCTCGACAGTATTGTCACTCATTTTCACACATATACGTGGACAAAAATGGGCCATCGGTTCTCTTCTTTTTTTCTCGTCGGATTTGAATCAAAATTCGCTATTACAGATAATCGAAAGGTTATCGATATTCGCGGTCGAGATTTATTATGCCTCTCCCGTTTCTAGAAATGTCACGGTAAAACGCAGCGCAGGGCGCACCGATTGTAGTCGTGTAAACAAGGGAGAATGCGTCTGGCCTGACGATCGCGATGCAATCCGACATCATGGAGGATTTGAAGATTAAATTTTTCGGCCTCATTAATAAACAGGCAAGCCCGTTTACGTATACTCCAAGCGAATATCATAATACGCCAAGTATAAGCGCGGCTTCGTTTGTTGCGTTGCTAGAAGTTAGGTTATATCACAACTCGGAAGTGATGTGTACAGTTGAATTTGACATTTCGCTGTCAAAACGACATTACGTTACTTCTTATCTTCGTAATTAGTTTTAACGAGGATCAGTGATAAAACAGCAGTTTTAAGAATTTAACACTTTAATTATATTGTGTCTCTCATGACAGTTATATTTATGTTACAATATGTCTAATTTAAATATATACATTATAATTCATCTGTATTTAATATTTATATTGAATCATACATGTAAATTTAAATTACTTATAATTTTCATATATGTATATACATCTATATAATTCAATAGCATATATATATATTTGAAAAAATATTTATTTAATCTCAACTCTATATTATTAGTATTATCTGATTATTAGCTAAAATTAAAGAAAATAACGCTTGATTTGGACATACATACACACACATTAATTGTTTTATTATTAAAATAGATGAAGTCCATAATTTTGTTTATCTTTTATAGAATGCAACCAAAGTGCCACTTATGGGCTTGAATCCAGATCTGCTTAATCCACCTGACTTGCAAAAATGTGAAGACCTCTGCTCCGAGGCGGATCAATCAACAGAGAGTGAACCTATACCTGATCAGGATGTGTTAGACTCTATCGAAGATGTTTACTTCAATACTGATGGCAGTTTTGATTCATCACGCTATGAACTAAACAAACTGCCAACGATATTGCAGCCTAAGGAAATTGAGAAATGTTATAAGAAACTCAAGCAACAACATCAAGTTGTCTCCAAGAAAGTGTTGCAGCTTATTTTGCAAAAGCAGAGTGTTTGTAAAGCGGAATTTGACAAGATTTTGCTGCTACAGGGCCAACTGGAGGCTGTTTTAGAAATATGTAAGATAGGAAGGACAGATTTGCAATTAGCTGAGAAACAATTTACCAAAGCGAGTTTAGGCATATTAGCTAACTATCAGAGACGACAAGTAATCCAAGAACTGTTAAATAGTTTAAATACCATAAAGACCTTGGTAAGTCAATTCATATTTTATGTTCGTCTTTAAAAAGTTTATCTTTAAAAATATAAAATTGGGACCGTAGATGTCTTTCAGACATCTTATGCTCCAATTTTAAACTTAATATTTTGTGTGTGTGTGTGTGTGTGTGTGTGTGTGTTTTGGGTATTCCTTATAAAAAGCTAAATTTTAATTTCATGTCACATTAAATGAATTAAAAGTCTTTTATACATTTTAAACCTAATTATTTTGTAGCAATGTACGGGAGATCGTCTGCAAGAGCTTCTAAATGAAGGAAATTATCCTGGAGCTATATCGCTTCTTTTGGAATGCCAGAGTGCTGCTCAAACTTACAAGCATTTCCATTGTATTGCTGAACTGAACACGAATTTGCAAAATATTTTAGATCAAGCGGAAAGGACTTTAGACAATACTCTCTCTAAAATGTGCACTGAATTCGATGTCGCAGTGTATTCTTCCATTCAGGAAGCATATTTATTGTTAGGAAAGACTCAATCTGCCATGGATCAATTGCATATGCATTTCACTGCTGCCATTCATAACACGGCGTTTGCCGTTATCTATCGCTATGCGGGAGGTGATGTAAAAAGACAATATAAACAACTGTGTCAGGCTGTGCCTCGTGAGACATGTATAGCTTGTCTCACGGAACTGTGCAAATCATTGTGGACAATACTGAATTCGTATCATTTAATTGTAAATTGGCATAACGTGCAAGAGGACAAAGTCGAGTGTAAATCCGATATTAAGGATTTAGAAGCGACTTTAAGCAAGCAATACGTCAAACACAAATTAGAGAACGGTATGGTCCGAGTGTGGCACGATGTGGAAATGAAAATATCGATATATTTGATGAACACGGATTTGACAAATACAAAGTTTGAACAATTTGTTCAGGTATTGGGTATAGTTAACAGGTAAGCATATTGATAATATGTAACAATAATTATCAGGTGATGCTAAATAAATGAACCATCTATTAAATTATCTTAATTTAATTATAGGTTGATGGAAATTGGGGAAGACCTCTGTGGTTTCAAGTCGGAGAACTTGCAGGAATCCATTAAAAAACAGTCCTTATCTTATTTTTCTCATTATCACGCATCTCGTTTGGATGAATTGAAAATGTTTCTGGAAAATGACGGTTGGGAATTGTGTCCTGTGAAATCCAATTTCATGGCTACCCAATTATTGGAGTTTCGAAGTCTGAAACCTTCGCTCAATAATTGTAAAACATGGAATAGCCTAGATAGCTC